GGGGGGGGGGGGGGGGTGGAGAGGGGGAGACGTAGAAAGAGCGTGGCGACAACAACGGAAGGATGAAGGAAAAAAGCAAGACGAGGATGAGGACGATGAGAGAAAGAGGAGAAAAAGAAGAGTGGAGTAGGAAAAAAACAAACAGGAGGAACAGAAAGAGTGGCCTGACAAAGGTCGGCTGCCATGCACACTGTTCAGCAGCCCCGCCAGGCATTGACATCGAGGTTGGGTAAAAGGAGGACTAGATTTCACGAGCCAGCGATGCAGGATGCTTCAAAGGGCGCCGACGCGGCCGCAAAAGGGGGAATAGCTCGAGTGAGGGAGGATGGAAGGTGTGGGTGGTGGATGTTTCGCCGATGGATAGTGGGCTGGTTTCGTACCGGCCAAATTCAACCCCGTCTGAGTAGAATGAGGGGAAAGTGAGACGAGAGACAAAAAATAGGTGCGATTTAACTGAATCTACTTAAAACGTAGAACGCCTGAGTGTCATTTGCAAAACTGACAAAAATCCCAAGAATAATTTTATCCGAGAAAATCAGAATGCAGAAGCAGTAAGCATACAGAATCACATCCTTTACATTTGTAATTCAGTCGTCGGAATAATCAAGTAGTATGTAGAATATATATTATTATTCTTTGTGAAATGATTATTTTTAATAAAATATAGTGTAATGTTTTGTTAGATTGTTAAAAGTAAACTTAATAACTATTAGTAAGTGATTGTTTTGTTGGCGTTACGTACAGTACTTACATAGCCGTGCTTGTCGCTCATGTTGTTAGTCAGTTTGAGCTTATGAAAGCTGACTACTTTCTGCATCCACTGTTCACCGCTGCTCGGCGAATCTGGGTGTATGTACATTCTCTTGGGCATTTCGGGATCCGCTTTACCAGCTACCATCCATCTACTACTCGTCAAATGAAAAAAAAATGTGTTAATAAGACATTCTTTCTTACCCTTCTGATAATTTTTTTCTGGAAGTTAGTTTCGAATTTTCATTGATATCATGCAGAGAGAGAAAAAAAACTCATAATAATACTGAACTTCTTCAATGTGCTATTTATTACACATATGTCCATTGCAATGTGGCGGTAAAGAAGCGTCTGATGATCATAATGCCAGTGTTTGTGTATATAGAATTATTCCAAATGAAGTAATATCTCAGTGATTATGATTAATGTTCTTTGAACAATGTAATTTTTTTTCTCTCAAAAAAATTCTCCAATCGAAGTCAACGTGAACATGCTTTATACACTTGCTTACGATGGAGATCGAACTTAAAAAAAAAATAACGTCAATCAATAATTCATGATAGTAATTATCCTAAGACTATCATTATGATGGAATCAGTTGAAAGGTAATGTCTTCATTTGTAGCATAGCTCGAATCAAAGTAATGATTAGATAGTTTCAATCTCCATCAAAGAGTCAGCTAAGGCTTTTTGCGATCCCCATACCAGTCGAAATAATTGATTACCCTAAATGATGAAAAATCATTAACATTATCTCAGTTGCATATCCCCAAAATTAAACTCATAATAAGCCTTGGACGATGCAAATTTTACTAGTCATTTTTTTAAATCAAACAATTCATCCATTTCTTTCCTGCTGTTGTTTAAATATTATTTCAGTTATTTTGAATTATTTTTCGACGAGTATGAGGAATTGTTCGCAGCGCACGCTCCGCTATTGACGCCAGAGAGCATTCAGGTTATTAATTGAAAAGATAATTTCAAAAGGAACAAAAGTACTCTCTAATTGGAAAATGGTTTAATTCATTCAGGGTAATCACCTGTTGTGAAACTTATATCGGTACTCATCGGTTGCCGCGATGTCCATCAGAAGTATGTAGCTAGCCTTTTTGTCTAACCCAGACACCCTCACTTTATAAGCGGGAAACATGCGTCTGCGAACAATTTGCAATTGCAAAAAGGGCAAAACATTGCCGATTAGTTGATTTCTTTCGTCCACCGAATTTTGTCAAATCTAAACTAACATGTTTTATTTAATATTTCATTAATTTATGAAAAAGGATGGTGGACGAATCCTGGTCAACTTCAGTGAGTGGCAATGTTATGGTACTTTTCGTCTTTCTATAATTCGGTAATTTTTTTCTTTCGCCGGCTCTGATCTACCTGTTGTGAAATTTATATCTGTAGTCATCGGCGGCCACGATGTCCAAGAGTAGTATGTACTTGGCCTTGGCGTCCAGGCCGGAAACTCGGAACTTCATCTGAGGAAACATCTGCCTAGAACCCCGGACCAACATTTACATACGGATTAGAAACATCTCCTTAATTGTCAACACATGCTAATGTTTCCATTAGTAGGGGATTAGAAAGGCGTCGAGTGAGAACTCAATCGCCACACGTAATCCTGTTTGTACTTAGACATACATATGCATTTTATTTAACCGCACATGTTTATCATCTTGCAATATCACTCCAAAAGATCAATAAAAATTTTGGATCTGTAAAGTTATTTGATTGAAATTTTTTTATATTTCTTCCCCTTTTTTCTTGCATGTTCTGTTTTACTGAATACACACTACGCTACTGACCAACCCAACGGCAGCCATCTTGGCATGCCCCTCCCCAAATGAAAAAAAATCATGGGACATGAAATATCCAAGCATAACGGAAACGAAAAGCGATGAAAGAAAGTTGATGTTACAACAAAAATGAAACGAGTAACGAGATGATAAAATTGCCGAGGCGACGACTTTCATTGGTGAGGTGGAGTCCTTGGTTTGACGTTGATTCCCCAGCGTGCTGGACCACCCTCTACGTCCAACAAATCAATGGAGCGCGTTTCACGAAGGCACGGCAAGACCGCCGGCGATCGTTTTGCTTCTCCTTGGGATTACTCCCTTTCCTCCGTAGCCCTTTTTCCTCTTTAACTTGGAGATAAGTCTCTGTAGTATTTGAAACACAAGAAACCACTGTCCTGCTTTCATTTTCTACACCTCACAGGAATTGCTGCTGCAACAGTTTTCTTGAGGTTTGTAATCCCTTTTCAAAATTTGCATTCAATTTATGGGAAATTCTTTTCTCAGATCATCAGTACAAGACATCATAATAGATATTAATATTTTTCGTCCCTTGCCCAATCTTTCACAATATTGAATATTGCATTTGCCAATTAACAGTATTTTTCATTACAAAAGAACAATTTCTCCACCAAGTGTGAGAAAAGCGTGAAAGTGTGATTTCGCAGTCATATGGGTCGAGAAAAATCGTCTACCCCCATTGTAAACGCCATGAACCGCAGAATAATCGAGTGAAAACGAAACCTCTCAGTACTACAGTTACCCTGAAAAATCCCGTCAATAGGGATCTCCCGTGCATCTGCCTACTGTTGGTCGAGTTTCAACATGCTAAAAATGTCCGCGGGTGTCCAATAAGAACGAGGTGAGGCGGCAAAGAGCGCGTGTAGAAAAAACTCAATGTTAAAAAAAAGGGAGCGCGAGAGAAATCGCATCGTCAGCCAAGTTCTCATTCATGACCCAAGGGACACTCGAGAGGATTCTAAGCCGGATTATCCGTTGTAAGCAAAAACATACCGCCAGGACTTCTAGCTGACGGGAAAACCACACGAGTTTTCTTGTCACCGTGTTTCCTTTTTTCCCCACTTCCCGCATTTTTCAAAATTCTAGCGTTAAATAAGCTGAAATATAATCGCAGAGCGAAAAATAATTTAATACCAAATACTTTGAGTAGGGATAAGGAAATTTTACGTTTCGTCAAGAAGAAAAATTACTCCTGTGGGAGCGAAAATTCCCTCTCTCAATGCAGTACAATTTCCTAGAGGGCTTATAATTTTCCGTTGATTTCAAAACTAAATAATCGAATTTGTATTCTCAATTTTTATTTTTGGATATTAAGCAACGAATATTGTCAGGAAAATTTTACACCTCGCAGGGGAAAGGCGGCTACTATTGCCACTTAGTGAGTAATTCTGATGAGTTTTATTTATCGGAAATGAATCAGCCGTCTGCTCACGAACAAAATATGCCCCTTTCGTAATTGTCCACGATGCACAAGCTCAGAGTGTTGATGCTATAATCAACAGAATCTAATTATCTATAAATAAACTGTAATTAAAGGAATACGAGTAAAATGTGTCTAACTCAAATTGTGTTGAGTTTATTTTTCTCTCTCCGACACCTCACGATAACAATCTAATCTATAATTTAATTAATTTCAGAGACTAAAAAGCTTTTGAATAGTAATGGAAATTTTTTAAGCGTGGCAACTGTAACACTTTTATATCTCTCGGACCGATAAACCACAAATTCTAACCTCCTTTCGTTCGATATCATACGGCGATAAAACTATTTTCCGATTTACGTGATCAAATCCTCGCCTTTGGCTCGGATCTTGAAGACATATTTGTCAGAAAATACTTTTATCGGCTTTTTGACATAATGTAATATATTACTCGTGTGATTTCAGCGCTCGGCTTTACCTCGGTTTGCAACCCTCACATTTTTTCAAAAAGTTTATTCCGGCCTTGTAATGAAATAGTACACTTCATCATCATCCTCCCCTTCGGCTCGAATTATAAACTCACATTCGTCAGAAAATCCTTTCTGTATGATGTGAACTATTTCCATTTATAGACCTGAAAATTGTGATCTAGCCGAGCGAAGCGATGTTAGAATCACGGTTTATCGAGCCTAGTAACCTAAATGCACAGTTCGACCAAGTGAGGAATTAAATTTTCTATCACACTGTCCGTAAAGCAGCATTTTAACGGACACGAATAATCCATAAAATGCTGCTTTGCAGTGTGACGAAAATTTATTGTACAGTGTTCGGCAGAAAAAAATCAAAAAGTGAATCGTTCTCTGATGGCGGATTTTTCAGTGGTAATACTCTGAAACCTTCAAAATTATCGGATATGTGATTATTATATTTTGCAGGCTAAAAATTCCGAGTGCGCAGCATACAGAGAGAAATTTTTGATAAAAATTATCCTACCGTTCTATAAAATTGTACCATGAGTCATCGTCTCCTCATTTCTATGCCGAAATTTAGTAAAAATTGATATATGATGATGAAATTTTATTCTACGTTAAAGAAATTTTATCCTGATAAAAATAAAAATTACCGTACCGGTAGAGTAAAAATTACTGTACTGGTAGAGTAAAATTTACCAACCGTTCTAGAATTTTCGTTGTTATCTACATAAAAACTATTGGAATGGAAGGGTAAAATTTATTATGCGTCAGGATAAAATTTCTCTAACGTAGAATAAAATTTGATCACTATATATTAATCTTTACTAAATTTCGGGATAGAAATGAGGAAACGATGACTCATGATACACATTTTTATCAAAAATTTCTCTCCGTGCACGAGAGTTTTTCTGCAAAATTTAACATACTTGTTTGTTTGCGAAGAATATATAAAATAAATATATCAGAGGATTATCTCTGGACTTTCGATATGATCAAGCAGAGTCCAGCATTACTCGCAGAAAAGTACCAGAAAAATGACCGTGCTAGTACGGTAAAATAGGGTTCTTTTTAACGGACTTGGAAAAATTCACGTGCCAGCACCGAATAATTCTCCTGTAAAAAGTTCCTGTCGCGCAGAAAAACTTCCGGTGCTGGCACGTAAATTTTTCCGAATGCGTCAAAATAAACCCACTTTACCGTGCTATATACGGAAAGAATATCATTATTCTCTGTGTACGATATTTGAAAATCATTTGGTTAAGAAAACAGATGCAAAGCTAGGAGGAAATATTTAAGGGAAATTATCAAAATCTAAGATGAAATATTCAGTCATAGTGCCACCAAAGCGTCAAAGTGATTGGTTATTTCCCAATAGCTTCGTTACAAAAAATGAGAGTATCGCGTTTTGCAGGTTGAAAAATTAGAATCGCTTGCGCGAGAAAAGCTTAAGGAAAATATTCGATTCATTTTGAAACTCCAGTGGTATTCGGCGGATTATGTTTTTCCTAAAAATTTCGGCCAAAAGAATTATTTGCAAATATTTTTTCAGCTGCGAAGGAGTAAATTATTGGAATAAAACTGTGTTGCTCTCCCGGATGCCATATGATTCTATTGGTCGAGATTCTGAGGGAGGAAAAAAACAGCAGTTATACATAATACCGCGGGTGTTCTAAAATGATTAGTTATGTTCCGATAATATCTTTCAATAGGAAAGGATGTGTCAAATTTTGCAGGTAAAAAATTTGATACATTTTGCTGCAAGATTTAGCACATTTTTTCTATCCAGGGAAGTTTAAGAAAAATAACTAAAAATTTTGGAACACCAGTGGTAATTGCTGGATTATTTCTTTTAAAACCCGCTAGTAGGCGCGCTCTTTTTCCTATAGGTTGACTAACTTTGCGTGAGGGAAATGCTCATAGCGTGCCTACTGACAAATTAATCTCCTCGGATATTGTGCTCTGATTGACCAAAAATAATCCATGAAATTTTGGATGAATTGGACCATCTGAGGATGAACAACGTGACAGTCAGTGATTTTTTTTGAACTATGTGGACAATATTCTGCTCACATTTTTCCATTGATATAGAGTAAAAAAAGTATGCACGTGAACTTGAGTTTTTGGCAGTAATTTTTCCTCAGCTACTTTCTCCTTGCACGGTTTTATGGAGGCTAAAAAAACCAAAGAACGAAAATGAAGGTAATAACGAGCATGTAATATACAACGACGGGAAACTAATTCACCTATTTATCGTCTTTGCTGCACCATTACGGAAATTCAAATGATCGTTTTTAAAATTTTCCTAATTATGAAGTCATGAATACTTCTGCGACGCGAGTCCCACTCTCGTTCTGATCGTTTGTTTTACGAGGGCCCGGGTATTATAATATACGTGAGGCGCCAGTGAGACGGTTCAGCGTGATGCTCCAGCTGGGATAACGCTCGTCGGAGGAGCATACCGGGCGTTCCGTTCACACAGATCAGAATCAGCGGTGATGGTTTCAAGAATTTTTTTTTCTCGAGACTCTTTTAATGGACCACCGCAACAACTGAGATTATATCCCATCGATCCCGAATGGAATTCCCATTTAATGATTTTTGTCCAATGACATTAATGTTTATAAAGCAGAGATGGACAAATTTCAATGGAATTTTTACTCCAGTGAATGTTGATAACCGATTCTTAAGCGTTAGGAAATTTTTTAATAATAAAGTATGGATAAATAGAGGGGGTAAAGGATTCTGTTCAATTACCGAAAGCTATATACATAATCTATTTCGACGAAT